GAATTATTTTTGCCTTCACTTTCTTGTTAAGGCAGAGAAATGAATTGTTCCTGACTCCACCGGAGGCAGCACTCATGCTAATGCAGAGTAGTAAGGAAGTTAATGGAGGCCAGTCGGGCACCTTTGGCTCGAGAGTGTGTTCTCTTTGAAAATGTCAGCCTGAGCTGTGATGGTTTCTGAGCTTATCTTAAATGACAAGACGTGGACTGAGAGCCACAGTTCTGCCGTCTTTGGTGGAAACGAGGCTAAATTTAGAAAAGTACACACACACACACGTGCGCACACACACACACATCCACAGACATACACACAGTCTCTTTCACGCTTCACACTCACTCAGATACAGCCTTTCCAAACAGTGCATTTCCTAAAGGAATATTTGAATGAAAAAATCATCCAGTTACACAGGTGACGCCGTCACCATGGCAGCATGTCCAAGGCTGAATGCCGCAGTCAGTCACATACCGTCATGACGAATGGAATGACGTTTTTTTATGTCGCCAGCATGTATAGAAGATATTAGTCCATAATCAACCTCAATAAATGCTCCTATAAACTATACTAGGAGATATTAGTACATAAACAACCTCAATAAACACTCCCATACACTAGAGCAGGAGATATTACTCCACAGACAACCTCAATAAACACTCCTATACACTAGAATAAGGGATATTAGTCCATAAACAACCTTGATAAACACTCCTATACACTAGAATAGGAGATATGAGTACATAAACAACCTCAATAAACACTTCTATACATTAAAACAGAAGATATTAGTCCATAAACAACCTCAATAAACGCTCCTATAAACTATAGTAGGAGAAATTGGTCCATAAACAACCTCAATAAACGCTCCTATACGCTAAAAGAGAAGGTATTAGTCCATAATCAACCTCAATAAATGCTCCTATAAACTACAGTTGGAGAAATTAGTCCATTAACAACCTTGATAAACACTCCTATACACTAGAATACGAGATATGAGTACATAAACAACCTCAATAAACACTGCTATACACTGAAATAGGAGATCTTTAATTTGGCCATAAAATTGGAATCAATCCAGGATTAAAGAAGGAAATTATGCATATCACATCAAACTTTACCTTCCAAGGCCACAGTGAAGCTATGCTTAGACCAATGCCTTTTGTCCAAGGCTGTTTTGCTTGATGTCCAGCTGTATGAGAGCTGAGCCATGCATTTTTTCACAAACCTGAAGCTGTTTTGTCTGATGTCTGAAGCCTGAGGACATCCTAAAATGTACACCATAACGTAAACAGCTTTCTTTTTTATGATATCCACCTGGAGCACTGAGCGTGCAGCTCCACAGCTGGTATCTAGAACAATTTCATCTATGCTATCTAAAGGAAATGTGGTTTTAATGTACTGGGGGCTGTTCCCACTCACAGGCCTATAAGCGTCCATTATTGTTTAGCTACATTAGCTCCTCATAGCTCCAGTGCAAACCTAAAGAAGCAAACTTCAGACACCAAACACGACTTGGCAGATTGACTACATACATTCTTTTCACCGGGGTTTGGTACGGACGCCTGTGCTGCTGAAGCTTTTCGTCTCTACTCCTCCTCCTCTAGCGCCCCTGAGAGAGGGACCACACAGACAAAGAGCACGGTCAATAATTCAGCGAGTCCGCTCCAATCCATTACGCTGCATTTATTATGGATCATAATGTTACAGGCGGGCAGGTCTCCTCCCCCACCGACTGCACACAAACACAGAAAACCTTAACAAGCAGTCAGCACATCTACAGCTGAGCTCCGAACGCCGCTCTGATGCCCCGGTGACAGACGTCCCTGTCAGTTCTCATACAGATGAAGGGAATCACACAGTGGCAAGCAAACACAACAGCTGGCGGATACCCACCGAACGTCTGGGGAGGCTTAACATGCGCACAGTTTCCGACAGTTCTGAGGCACTTATTCAGCTGCTGGCTTAATGAGTTTTCATAAGAGTTACAGCGCTTAAGACAACAGCTCTTTCCTTATTGACTTTCTTTCCACAGCTGCAGATGTAAACCTCTGTCTTTTTGCCACCCAGGGCAGTTTTGGTGCACTTTTAGACAAACAAAGATGTCCAACTGTCCTGCCTCAGCCTCCTAACTCTCTCAGACCTACATTAAGGTCTTTTTGCTTTTGTGTATTTTTGTGTTTTTCTTGACTGACAGCAACATCAAATATTAAAACTCACACATTCTGCAAAACCTCAGTTAATGAGTCAATAAACAACCTCATAAACACCCCATAATCGCTTCTATTCACTACAATAGGAGATATTAGTGTATAAACAACCACTCATTCACTAGAACAGAAGATATAAATCCTTAAATGACTTCAATTAACACCCCTATACACTAGAAAATTGAGATATTGTTGTATAAACAATTTCAGTAAATGCACTCATGCACTAATATTAGATATTAGTCCACAGACAATCTCCATGAACACTCATATACACTATAGCAGAAAATATTAGTCCATAAACAACCTAAATAAACACTCCTATAGACTAAAATAGGAGATATTAGTCCATAAACGACCTTAAAACACTCATATTCTTTTGAATTGGAGATATTAGTCCATAATCAACCTCAATAAACGCTCCCATGCACTAGAATAGGAGATATCAGTCCATAAACAACCTCAATAAACATTCCTATACTCTTGAACAGAAGATATTTGTCCATAAACGATCTCACTAAACACTCATATAAGCTAGAATGGGAGATATTAGTCCATAAACAATCTCAAAACACTGGGGAGATATTAGTCCACAAACAACCTCAATAAATGCTCCTATGCTCTAGAATAGGAGATATTAGTCCATAAACAATCTCAAACATGCTCTTAAACTCCAGAATAAATGATAATAGTTCATAAACAATCTCAGAAAAGGCTCATAAACACTAAAAACCAAAAACTGGAATTTTTCTAATTTGAAGTGCATGGCAAAAACAAAAAAACTAAACGTTGTTAGTCAGATATCTTCAGTTTTACAGATATAAAAAGGTCTCACTTAAAAAAGAGCCGCAGCAGAGCTGTGAAGGCAACATGGAATTTTGTCACAGCCGGTCTAAAAGCAGCAGCCCAGAAATACCCAAGTAAACTCAAATTCTTGCCAGCACTAATGCGGAGCAGCTAGCGGTGTCTAATTAGCGCCGTCAGAAGGATTTCCAGCATGACAGAGTGCAGACCGTCACCAGCCACGCAGGAGACAAACCCCCCTGCTTTTAATTCATCTACAATCCAAACAAAACATAATGAGCTGTTCAGTAGTCAGGGGGAAATGAGAACACCGAGAACTGATCCAGAACACATTCCCCGTAGAAGAGTCTGAAAGTTGGAAGGTAGAAACTTCGAGTTTGAATCATGTGGAGACAGGATGTGCAGTGAGAGGATCTAAGAGTTTTAGGAAGCCCTGAGGAGCTATGCTTCACTTTTCCTGGAGGACAAAGCATGTGATTGTTTTTACACAGCAGACGTCAGGAAACTGAGAGCATGCTAGCTAGCTTGTGGTTTCAAGCGCAAAGGCTCACTATAAGCCTTATTGCTGAATGTAGAATTTAGCAGTCAGAACTTTTTATGCTGTATTTTTCATTTATTGGTACACATAAGAGTGGGTAAGATGGCAAAAATACACTTCACAATGCACAATGTGCTGTACATTTACAAGCTACTTGTTACTATGCAGGTTATGAACTCCTAGCATAATAGTGGAACCATTTTTGGTGCTATACAAAATCATTTAATGGGTTCTATAAAGGCGCAGTGTGTAAGATTTAGTGGCATCTAGTCTTGAGGTCACAGATTGCAACCAACTGAATCTCCCTCCCTCACCCCTCCATTTCCAAGCATGTAGTAGAACCTACGGTGGCTGTCAGGTTTTCTGCCGTCATCTGCCCTGATTTCGTGTTGCTTCTTTGTGTTTCCACTTCTTAGACGATGAGGATTCACCCTCCCTCGCCATTTTTTGTCCAATTGTCAAAATTTGGGTTCTCAAACTTCTCACAACACAAAATGGTCAGCCAGCATCGGCAGCCACCACTGATTCTTCTTCTGTCTATGTCATGCAACCAGAGCTACAGCGCCACCAAATTCAATGTAAAGACACCAAAACTGCCCCCATCAGATAAACAGCACTTAAAGCTTTCATCTTTGAGAGAGAGGAGAAAATCAAGCTGCTTCAGATCTGAAAACATCCACAGGTGTTTCTGTCCATCCTTCCACTGTGAGAAGACGACTCAGCGCTATGGGTCTGAAAGGATGTGTAGCTGATCAAGAAGAACCTCACTGAGAAAAGGAGACGGACACATCAAACAAAGAAGCTGAACAATGGACTGACCACCCCAGAGTCCAGACCTTAACACCACTGAATGAGTTTGATTACTTCAGAAAATGATCAACCAGCTTCTAAGACTGAACTTTGGAGGTGTGTCTGCAGATTCTTTGAGGAACTGAAAGTGAGTCTCAATGGAAGCTGTAGTAAAGGTGCAATGGACACACTGAATATTGAAAAAAGATGATATTTAGTTGCTGAGGCTTCTGTGTGTTTTCTGTTAAATATATTCTTTATTTCTGCTTGTTTTCCTTTCAGCGAAAAATTAATAACTTGTACTTAATGGCCATTTTGATTGGAAATGACTTTGACTTTGATGCTAAATGTGAAAATAAATTTGTAATGTGAGGAGTCATGCTAAAGTACTTTCATTAGTATAGCAGTGGGGTTCCTGCCTGAATGGGGAAACTGCAGTGCTGTTAATGAAAACCAGTTATTTTATTATTTTGAACATGATCGGCCTCTTTAATGCTGCATTGAGACGCTGCAGAAGACGGTCATTAATGTGGCTGCGTAAATGTTACGTGGCTGAAACAGACAAAACTCAGAAAAGCATATATATAATAACAGAGGCCAACATAATGTTCATCCACCCAATGGTAAACAATGGCAGCCGTGTGGTGTGAAGGACGAGGCCTACTCACCTCCATAGTGGTCAGATTGCAGCGGTGGGTGCCTGCAAACCAGCCGCTGCTGGAGCACTGGTCAATGTCCTCGTCCTGCAGATTCACATCGACTCTCACGACCCCTCTAGAGAGAGACAGAGAGGGGGGGGACTGTTTTAATGTGCTTCACTAGCTTTCAATGCTGAAGGCTTAAAAATCAGAAACTCCTCTGATGTAAGAACGAGCCTCTGGCTTTAATCCCTTCATCCGTATTCAAGATGTGTAGACAACACATTTGTGTTATTAAATAGCCCCATTCAACCTTTATATCTAGAACCTAAAGACATGAGAAGCAAAAGGGACACTTCCTGTATGGCTAGAGCTGCACTACGTAAGATTTTTTATTAAAATTAAAAGAAGTACCATTACTAATTGAGGAAAATAAAAACTCGCTAAAATATGTTTAGCCTGCGCTGCTGCAAGTCGCCCTGTAAAGCTTGAAGTAATCATTTAAAAATCTGAAGTGTTGGGTCAGGAGTTTTTCACACTATGTTGTACATCTTTACATATTTAGTCACATTCACTCAAAAAGAAGAATTAACTTTGATGTAGATATGATGACAATAGTACATAATTCACCCTCAAAAGACGCGTCCTTCACCAGGTTCTCTTTGAATACCCGGGCAACGTGCTCGAGTGGGGAAGTAGATGGAAACTCAACCCACATTACAAAGTGTTCATTTGCACGTCGCATGCATTTCCACATTTCCACCAGAGAGGTCTCCAAATCCCCAAAACTTACATGGTGAAGCTTTGTTCTTATCAAGCACTTGACGTAGAATGAGCCAGTGACATCATGTTGTCTGTCTGCTTAACGTTTCATTCATTTGGCACATGGGATGTGGTGATGAGCTGTTATAAGAATAAACGCACAATAAATACACAATTATTAACAGGACAAAATACATTTTGTTCTATTAATAATTGCTGTTACTGGGGCTCCCAAGTGGCGTGACCGTCTAAGCATTGTTCGATCCCTGGTGATGCTACAGCCATGCGTGGCCGGGAGTCTGGCCTTGCTCTCTTTGGGTGGGTAGGATGGCCCCCCCGTCTGCCTTCACTCAGCGCTATGCTAGCCATCGCAGGCATCTGTTAGCTGACGCATGAGAACTGGTGGTCAGCACTTTCCTCCGAGTGTGTTCGGCTGTCCAATGACGTTGCATTAGCAGCAATTTGAAAAGATGCGGAAAAGATTTTATTTTATTCAACAATGTTTTATATAGTGTAGACTGAAATACGATAACTTAAACACCAGAGGGTATTTCAGGACGCTTCCTTCAGAGATGGCATGATACCATGTTTCCTTTTCCAAAACTGAGTATTGGCAGATACCAATCTGATTTTTTTCCCTAGAAGCTGCTAAAGTTTAAAATGATCTATTTTTAATCGAAGCACTTAAGATCATCAAAAAGTATCCAGGGCCATTGCGTAGTGCCACCTAGTGTCCCTGAGCCCACTGACAGGCTGGTGCCCATTCCATAGTGCTGCTGCTCAGCATCTACGAGGGCACCAACAGTGCACCACCCAACTCCTTAGCCCCACATAGTGTCCCACTGACAGGCCACTGTCCACTTCCCTAGTGCCACTTAGTGCCCCAGAGGTCACAGAGAGTCCACAGCACAGCCTGTCCTGGAGGGCACCGAGAAGCCAGCGCCCAATTCCATAGTGCCACCAAGTGTCGCGGTAGAGGCTGCCACCCACTTCCATGATGCTGCCTAGTGTCCTGGAGCACACTGAGAGCCTACTGATACCCACACCATAGCACCACCTAGCGTTCTGGCTGCACCAAGAGGCTGGCACCCACTTACATAACATTGCCTAGTGATCTGGAGCACACTGAGAGGCCAGTTCCCACTTCCATAGCACCACCTATTCTCTCAGAGGGCACAAGAGGCTGCTGCCCACCTCTTTTGTTCCACATGGTGCCCAAGAATCCAGTGCCCAACTTCTCAGCACCGTGCATGGGAGCAGTGACTCCCTGGCTTTGCCCACTGTGGAGAACGGCCATAGGACCATGCCTGATCTTTGACTCCGCTGGCCCAGCTGTGAGGACCAAAGATGTCAGGTGCCTGCGCTCCTCCTCCTTACCTGTGCATCATACTTGACATTTCATAAACGTGTGCATGCAGTGTCTGTTCTTTAGTACTTTGGTCTGCTATTGTCAGTGAGGTATCTACAGTGATACAAGTAGGGCTGGGCGATAAAACGATAACGATAAGTATCGCGATATAACTTCCTCGATAGAGCGATAAGACAGGTTCGATAGATTTTCGATATAATACACCGTTCTCACACTTCCATGTTTTAGCGAAAGCCCCGGTGGCGTTTTCTATTGCAAGGAAAGCGACACTACTCTGCTGTTGCCAGGAGAGGGCGCACTTCCGAGTTTTTCGACTTGATTAGAGAGGGAGGAGGCCACGAGTAAAAAAAGGGTCGCCAAATATACTTTAGCAACATCTGAAACGCGGAGTTATACATTCCCTGTTTGAGTGGAGCGACCGGCGATCTGTTCTCCTGTGACCAAGTGACGAGATAAGTGATGTAACTGTACTGTCCTACAGCGAACTCACCTCTTTCCGTGCATCCTAACAACTTTAGCGGTGTTAAATCACGTCTACAGCGCCGTGTTGCAGCGCCAAACCGTCATATTTGAGTATTAGTGCATTCTCTTAAACGAAAGTAAACTGTGGAAGCTGTGAGGCATTGGGAAGAGGGAGAGCGCTAGGTTAGCTTTCCAGGCTAGCTGTTTTTAGCTGCTGGCTAACTTGAAGCAGCGCTCCGGCACAACACGGTGAATTGATGATACTGTAGATCAAACAAAACACAAAATCACCGCTTTCAGTTTAAACATACCTAAAAGGAGGACTCTGTGTCTGGTGTGAGAGATTCACACTGCAGATAATGCTTTTACACAGCGAGCGTCAGATATACTGCGGTTCACCCCTCAAACTACTACGATAGCATAGAGAAACCCAGCCGTCTAGCTGGTGTCTGAATACTGTGATATGCTGACATGGATGTGGTTGGAGTGACAGCAGTGACCTACCGAACCGAGTTGACGTTGTTGAGAAACTAAAGAGTTTAGCTCTGTTGTTGGCCACTTGTTTAGCATTTGTAGCGGGGTAGCCGAGCGCTCGTCACCAGACAGCTAGAAATAATCTATTTTCTTTCTTAAATTATGACTATTACAAAAATTGCAGCGGTGCTTTTCCAGCTGATAAAAACAGCTCAGAAACTTTCTCCCACTGTCCCAAGACAGATTAGTGAAATGTTCCACTGTTTGCCGAGTGTTTGTCATGATCCGACCATAAGTGATAGTTTAAAACCACAATTAACCACCCAGGAGCAAAATCAGCCTTCAAACGTGAAAGAAATAATGATTTGACGATACATATCGCGATATGTATCGATATCGAACGATATGAATTTTGTTTATCGTGATAACGTTTTTGGCCATATCGCCCAGCTCTAGATACAAGCCTATTAGTTCAGGCTGATGTCCTGCACATCTATTGCTAGATGTTGTTTTTAAGCCAGCAGAAAGCCAGCGCTACCCCAGACCGAATGCAGGCTCTCCTGCAGCTGCCCTCTGGCTATGTGTGAAACTGGAGGTCATTAAGGTCAGCAGCAAGGCCAGCCAGCAGCCCATTAGAGCCTGGCTCTCTTATTTCAGTCACTGCACACTCATACGGATCAGATCAGGCTGCCATGTCTCACTTTTAGACGTTTATGGATCATAGTCCTACAGTAATTCATTAACCCTTTAGTTCTGAGGGAAAAATATTTCTGCCCTGCTCATCTTCTTTAATAACATGATATTAGACATGATATGTTTTGATATGTAAAGAACATGATCTAACAAAGCTGAACCTACATGTGTCTTCTGAGGTTATCATCTGGAATGTTATATATGAATGGTATAATAGTGCTAAATCTGAAAAAATAAGTTTTCTTTGGGGACTATGTTCACAACACCCTGCATGTATCCCTCCACCACAAACAGCTTTTAAATATGTTTCAGGCCAAAACCTTCTCAAAAATGTCTCAGGCATCAGGCAGTGAATTCATAACCATTTCATGTAGTAACTTTCTGTGAGCTTTTAGAGGTGGACGTCTGGTTCCTATCACCACCACTGTGAACAGTTCTGACTCAGTAAGTTTCTCTAGAATGGAGCGTTTCACACCAAACAGCTCTGAATTACTTTGTTTACATCTTAACCATCTAATTATTCTGAATTTTTTAAAAATCAGTGGCGTTCCCTTTTAAGATCTTGCATGTGCAGATACTGACCGACGGCTTCTTAGAACATCACCAACATCTTGAACTGTGGAATATATACTCAAGCCCCATCCACTTGTGTCCAGATGTCTTTGAATTTTGGCCTCTCGTCCACTGGAGGTTTTTGAAAATGCTCTCCAGGGTGGAGATCTTTGAAAACTCAGTGTTTTTGTATGGACAGGCAAAACGCTGCTTTCTGAAAAAGCTGATATCATACCATGAATTTGTGCATGGTTGTAGCTGTTTTCATTCATTGACATAGGTGCCAGCTACGGGGGGCATTGGGTCATTCACCCCACCAAAACTTAAGAAGGCGACCCAATCCTAGTGCAAAGCTTGAGAAAGGTTGTGGTACTGAAACTGCACTGAAGGTTCTGGAAACAACTGCTACACTGTTAGAATTAAAGGTTCTGTTCAGGTACATTTTTCATTCATCAAGGTACAAACAATGTAAACGTTCCCTCAAAGGTACAACAGTGGTTTTAAGGTCTGATAGTGAACCTTAAATAAGTTTTTCCAGGTGAAAAGTTCGTATTTGTACCTTTTCATAACCGAATGTTTTAAACAGAACAGTAAAATAAAAGCCTGGAGTCGAGACGGGGTGTGTGGAGTCAGTACAGCTTAGAACATATCATTTCAGTGGATTATGGTTCAGTTATGTTCCCTGACTAAAGGTATTGAGATGTACCACCCCAGTGACAAGAGGGGGACTGACCCAGTGACAGTTTAGTACCTTTATTTCTGAGAGCGTGTAGTGAAACTGATTTGAACAGCAGAGATTTAAAGCTGCAAGTTGCTATAGCAAC